GTGTCCTTACTATGTTAAATATGTTACCCCTTTCTTTATGGACCACCTTTCTTATTAGTTTTCTCATTTATACCATAGCCGTTTTCTTGACAAAAGATGGGGTAAGATACCTTGGATTCCTATCTTTGGCTGCAACCTTTGAATTTGTACAGAAGCTCAGAAGAGCCCTTGGTGCCAGTCTTACATATATGCTAAAGATGCAGTCATGGGGAGGCCATCATCCTGTGCAACGTCTAATATTCAGCGATGGCACTGCCCCTGTTCTTCTGCCCATCCCTGTCATGCTTGTTCATGGGGAGTCAGGTCTGAGTGTCACTCAGGGTCTGAAGAAGCAATCAAGATCCAAGGGGAGCATGTAGAATCCAAGTGTAGGGGAGCCAGGAGATCCATCTAAGGAACCAAGTCAGAGATGCAGGATCAGGCAGAGCACAGGGTCTGGAGGCCAGCCAGCTCGGTTATCCAGGAGATCAAACCAGAGTCAGGTTAGGGAGCCAATGGGTCAGGCCAAACTCAGGGTCCTTGGTAGCTAGAAAATCTGTCAGAGAGCCAGTAGGGGCACAAGCTGAGGACAAGGCAGTCTGGGTACAAGGTCGAGCCCCGTTGTCCAGACACTTCCTCTTCCAAGTGTAGGGTGTACATAGGAAGGGGTAAAGGGCCAACTGACCCTGGCTGCTATTCCACGTGTAGGGAGTGGGCAGGTGGCTGGGGCCAGATAGCGGGCTCTGACCACCTGTGTCTATCTCGATGTTCGGCTGAGGATGTGACAGACCAGGGTGAGCAGCCATGCCAGGCAGGGTGAGGCCCCAGGTTCAAGGCCGTGTCCCGAAATCCCTTTTCCTAATGTTCCCCAAGCACAGATGGCAGTGTAAAAAGTGATTTGCTACCTATCTTTTTCCTGTCTTTTGGCAATTCTTATTTGGGTTGCAAAGAGCCTGTCATTGTCTCTGTCATCCCTGGCAATATGTCTGCACAGGTTGAGGACTAAGCACAGTTAAAGACTGAGTAGCGGGGCAAGATCATTGTTGGAACTGAGTAGGGAGGGTCCACCTCAGGCCCTTGACTTTTGAAGGAGAAAATGGAGAATTACAATCAGTCCCTGGGAAATTACTTTTAACTGGCACTTCCAAGCTTTCAATTAGGATAGCCATAAAATAGACTAAATGTAGTTCCATATGTAACAGCTCTGAAGGGGTGGTTCTCCCTTTGACCCGCATTTGCTGTATGGTACCTGCATTTGGGAAGGTAAGGAGCTCATGTAAACTCACCACACCTTCCTCTCCCCGTTTTAGCAAAGCAGCCCCTTGAAAAAGAGAAATTTGCAGTCCTGCAGCTTCAGGTGTTTGCTGACTGTGTGCACAAACAGTCACCTGACATCGGGTTTACCAAGCTAAATTTCCTCTCGTCATTCCCCCCAGCCACGCAGTATGAAAGGAAATGTAAGTAGCTTCATGGATAAAGGTAAAGACCGACAGGGAGACAATATAAGACCTGCTTGTCATAGGCAGAAGGGCATTTATCAGGGTGCCAGAAAATTGATCCATAAAATGTTTCCCTTGTCTTCTCCATTTATAAAGTACATCAGAATCTGCTGATGACTGGCTTTCAGGACTGCCCAGGGCATGGGCCAGCTCCCACTGAAGTCAATGGGAGTCTTTCTATTGATATTAATGTGAACTGGATCAAGCTGTTAATGAAAACACTTCACAACAGCCTTGCAAAATCATCGTGAGAATTTGCTGGCTTCGGCACAAAACAGACTCGCCTGTCCTTCCCAGGGGGAGGAGAATTGAGAAAAAATTAGGTTTTATTTCACCATCAAAACATATTAATTTCCCTGCAGGCAAGTGGGGGTGAAAGATTTCCCAGTTTTAGAATATCAGGAAGAGATAAAGAGGGCCCTAGATCCCTGAACTCTGAACATGGCTATGCAATGCAAGAGGAAAGTGCATTTTTATGTATAGAGGAAAAGCAGTGTCACCTTAACCCTCCTCCCTCCCCTTTTTGTATTGGACTGTCCTGGATGCTGTTGTCTACCTCACTGTTTTGAATAGGAAAGTGAGGGGAATAAGATGTCAGAGTGACATTGTGCTCTTTATGATAAATGCTATATAGTTCATATTGCTATATGTGACCACTGATCTCTCACAGTCCTCTTCTCCATAGCTGTCTCTGTTGAGGTATTCTGCTTTAGCATAATAGATGTGAGCAAGCATAGAGATGTATGCAACATTGGGATCTCATTGCAAGACAGAGGAGCACCTTTCCTCAAGGGAGTGGGTCACTGCAGCAGCTGTCTGTCTTAATGCATCTCTAAAGAGCATTTGTGATCAGGTGGGTTTGTCACAATGCCAAGTGAGCAGGAACAATACCACTGTACCAGGTGGGAGTGCGTACAGACTGTAATATAATCAGGGAAGGCCATCCGGCATGATTTGAAGGTCAGGCTTCTGGCTGCATTAAATGGCAATCTGTCCTAATGTGTCATCCCCATATGCCATCGATAACAACTCACAATGTACATGCCTCACTTCAGACCACATTTGCATCTGTTCTGTGCAAACCTTGCTCTAGCTCCCTCTCCATTTCGACCAGCTGTGGATGAGAAATACCAAATCATGATTAAATTAAAAGGAAAACAAAAAGCTTTCTGGACAATGTGGGAATTGATCCCACTGTATTATCACTTGCTTCTGAGATCAGAGCTACAGTAGAGCAAAACATCTCAAAATACAGTGGATCAAACAACTCCAAAATACCAACCACCAAACAGCAATAAAGCCAGCAGATAAAGGAAGAGATGTAGTTATCTTTAAACATAAAGACTACATAAAAGAAGCCGACAGACAACTGCCACCACCTACTATGAAAAACTAGGGAAAGATCCAACTCCTCCTTTCACCTTAAAACTCAAAACCACTATCACATCATTTCCATCTGAACTACAAGAAAAACTAAAAAACTTTACTTCCCCCTCCCGCCCACTACCCAATCCAGGGACTTTTTACATGCTCCCTAAAATCCACAAAAAAGGAAATCCAGGCAGACCTATAATATCCAAACATGAAACCCCAACTGAGGAAATATCAGGTTTCATCAAATCCATCCTAAAACCTCTTGTCACCCAAAGACTGAGTTTTGTCCAAGATGCAACAGACTTTCTACAAAAACTTTAGAAACATAGACCATCTCCCCAGCAATACCCTCCTAGCCACCATGGACATTACCAGCTTGTATACCAACATGCCACACCAGGATGGCACCAACTCTGCCTTGTATCTCTACAAGAGCAAAATTACAAATCAGAGTACAGACCTAAAGATATTACTGAAATTGCACACTTCATCCTCACACACAACTTCAGTTTCAGTAACCAACACTTTGTCCAGGCCATGGGCCCAGCTATGGGTATCAAAATGGCCCCATAATATGCCGACCTTTTCATGGCCCACCTGGAAGAAGAATTCCTCAAGAGCTACACCATCAAACCCCTGCTATACCTAAAATAGATAGATGACATCTTCAACATCTGGACAAAAACCTGCAGTCTCTGATTTGATTTCCATCACAAATTCAATAACCATCACGCCTCCATCAGACTCTCTCTTGAATACTCCAGCACCAACATTTCATTTTTAGATACTGTGACCAATATCCAGAATGGTAAAATACAGACCACCATATTCAAGAAACCCACAGAGCAGCATACGTATCTACACAGAACCAGCAATCATCCTAAACACACCAAAAATGCTGTAATATACAGCCAAGCCCTCCAATGCCACCAGATTTGCATTGAAGAGAACACCTCCAATCTCAAAAGGGCTTTCACCCAATAAGGACACTGCTCTAGAGAGATAGATCATACTTTTCTAAGAGCTACCCAAATACCACAAGAAGAACTGCCGCAGTACAAAAAGAAAATCCCCGCGACTTGCACCCTATTAGTTATGACATACCATCCTTCCCTGGAACCTATACAGAGACTCCTCAAACAATTGCAGCCCATATTAGAAGAAGACCCAATGCTTAAAGAGATCTTCCCAGAACCACACATCCTAGCCTTCAAACAAGCACCAAACCTCACCAACACTATCACCAGAAGCAAATTTCCTATGACCTAAAACACACCGAGTGGATCCAGACCGTGCCAGGACAAAAAATACAAAACCTGCCAACACATCACCACTTCCACAATAACTGCACCCATCAGTGCAGAGCCATCACCATCCCTGGATCAGAACCATCACCATCCCTGGATCTTACAGGTGCACCTCCAGAAATGTAATGCATCTCATCCAGTGCACCAAGTGCCCTGATGGAAAGTATGTAGGAGAAACCAAACAACCACTGTGTACCAGAATGAACACACACTGAAAATCTATCAAAGATAAAAATCCCCAATTATCTGTGGGTGCACATATTTCCTGCAAGATTACCACTCTCTCTCTAATCTTCAAAGAGAATTTACAAAATACTTTTTGTAGATGAACATACAAACTTCACTTCCTAAATCTACTGGATAGAAAAAATCATGGAGTAAATATAGACATTGGGTTTATGGTACATTATAACCTGCCTGCCATCTGATAACCTCAGGTAACTTGTCTGCATTTTACCAACTACATCCTATCACTAGATCAACATTCCTGCTCCCTCCCACCTACCTGTCTCACACCTATTGTCCCCCATTCCCTCTGATCCCCATTGCTATGCATTTGCATTTTCAGACCTTCATTTTGCATGTTGTCTTCTGTTCTGCCCAGGGAGCACACAATACACTAGCAAACTCTCCCTCTGCCTGAAGAATGGTGTTTGCGCCCAAAAGCTTCCAAAGAACAATTTTTCCAGCTATTCAGTTGGTCTAATAAAAGATATTACATCTACGCAAAGAACCTTGTCTGCAAAATACTTGTCTGCATTTCAGTGAACTGTGCTGTGCAAAACCCTATAATACCCTTGGAGAAACTTAGTTCCATGTCTTCCTTTTATGGTAGGAGAGAAGCCCATCAAAAAGTTGCACAGCTGCGTGGTTCTGTTTGATGAATGGTGAATTTTTGAAAACTCCTTTTGGTGATGGAAAAATCAATTATTCCCACTGCTAGGCAAAGACAGAGGGTGTGAGAGTGTGCTTCAAGTATGGAAATAAAGAGCAACTGTCCTGTAATGAATGCAAAGTCAAGAGCAATGTTCTGAGACCTGGGGAAAAGAGTAAATCAATTAATTAGACTATTTTATAAAAGCATAGACCAGATTCCTGCCTGCCCAGCAAGTTCCTTTGTGCTGCTCTGGCAATGCAAGGCACCTGGAAAACAGCTGTGTGCACAGACAGGGGAATTGCCTAATGGTATAAAGTCAGGGGAGCCAACTTTATTCAAGGCCTCCAGGCAGAAGGGGCAGCTGGCAGCCCAGCTGTATTGGCCTGTACTTGGCAATAGTCCTGTTGACTGGCCTCAGCTGGTCTTCAAGGCTAGGGACAAACGACTTGTACATAAACCGGTATAAGTGAACAGAAACCAGTTCAAATCTGTAACAGAACACAAGTTCAGTGTACATAAACCACTTTCAAAATGGCCAAAACCGATTTAAGCTAAACCTGGATGGATGTAGTATCAGAAGGCCCTTTTACACATGCTCTGGGGGTGAGAAGGGTGGCCCTTTGATTAGAATGGCTCCAAGAGCTGCTGTAATTAAAGTGAAGGGCTGCAGCGTCTTGTTTGAGCTTTAGTTTAAGTGCCCCTGCCACCGTTTTTAAGCATGGGGACTCTGGTGCACAAGAAGCGGGAGGCTGCTGGAGCTCGGTAATTACCATGCTCCAGCAGACTTGATTAATGGAGTCTGCTGAAACATGCTTTAATTACAGCACATCAGAGCAGCCTCTGCGCTCATGTACAGGCACCCAGACTGAACTGATTTAGCCTGAATCAGTTTCTTAAATTTCTGTCCCAGATCGCCTCCAGATTCAAGTTAACTCACAATCCCCCAGGATGCTTTTCACCTCCCCCCGCAAACCTCCCCTTGCAGGGTGGGAGGGCTAGCTTTGATCCAAGTGGTCTGCTCCAGCCAACCTAGGAGGCTTGCTGTAGCACCCCCCTGACTTCTGGCCTAAGCTACTACAGGCATGTGGCTGCATATCTGGAATAAAAAAAGAATGTCTGTTCCCTTGCTTATTGGTTCAATCTACACAGTTAAAACGAACCTGCAAAGATTGAATTGATTCAGCCTTGGGATTTTAGACTACCTGTACTTAGCTCAAAGGACCCTTCCTGATGGTTTAAGTGGAACAGACTTTCTGTAGGTCTAAGTAACACCAACAGTCACAGAAGACCACAGCTGGCCCAGCATCAGAACAAAACTGGTGGAGAATTATCTATCCTTCTCCTCCAGTCCTTTGCCAAGTATATATGACTGGGCCAGCCTGAATATCTGGCCCAGTATATATGGCTGGCATTATCTGCATAGCCAACCAGGTATAACTAAAATAATTTCTTACAGAATGATTCTCTGAGGATTTGCACATGGATGTAAACAGGATGCTGGCTTTATAGTTCATGCTACTACATAATTGACCTATGAGTTTTTGAGTTACTCTGTGGGGCTGATTACATTCTTTCTTAAGCAGACAAAACTCCTATCTACTGGAATGGGAATTTGTTCTCTGTGAACACAGCAGAGAGAAGCTCAGAGTCTAAATGATGCCCTGGGGCACGCACATTCAGGCTAGGGACAGACATTACACATAAACCGATTTAAGTGATCACAAACTGGTTTAAACCTGTAAAAGAATGGAAGTTCAGGGCACATAAACCAGTTTCAAAATGTCTGAAGCTAGTTTAAGATAAACCTGGTTGAATGTAGTATCACACTTAACTGACTTGGGTCAAACTGGTTTATGCATCTTCTGTCACAGACCCCTTCCTGGTTCAAGTTAAATCAGAGTCCCCCAGCATCCCAGCATTTTGCAGCCCTGGGCTGGGCTGGGCTGTCTGCTGGCCTTGCCCCACCCCTCTGGTCCCTAGCTGGAGCAGTGAAGGCTGGCTGACTGGCCTCACTAACTGGCTCATTGGTCCTCACAAGCAAACCCCTGCTGAGGTCTAGGGCCAGGGAGGAAAGTTAAACTTCCCTTCCCCTGAGTATGAAGCTGCCCTGCCCTGCTTGCTTAGTGCTGGCTGTGATGGTGGACTATAAATCCCAGAGGCACCTGGAAGCAGGAAGAGGAAGTGATGAGCAACCCTGCAGTCCTGCTGCTGTGATTGTGGACTGCAAATCCCAGAGACCTTGGGGGCAGCAGGAAGAGAAAGCGAACACACAGCCCATACTGGCTATGTGCCAGTGAGTCCTGCTCTAGTGCCCCCCAGCTTCTGGCTTGAGCCTGTTATGAATTACGCTCTTAAAGCCACGTGCAATTCGCTCTAGGCTGGGGCAATGATCACGCAGAGCAAGTATCCAAAGTCAGATACAGAATCTTTATTCACTGCAGCGAGGTGCCTCTGAGGAGGGACCCCGCCTACCAGATATAATACTTTTTTATACTTTGTAAGTACGTCAGCGTTAGTTCGTGATTAGCTCGTGCTTGTAAAAATACCCAATCATCTATTAACTAAATCACTATCTATCCAATCAAGCGGCACTGTGAGCGTGAACACCGAAGTTTAACTCTTGTGACTACATGCCCCATATATTTTGTCTCAAGATATTTCTTTATCTTACAAAAACAATCCTTGCCCGACTTTCAAGGTTCCTCTGTTGACGAGACTCCTCTGTTGACTGGATTCAGCTAGTTTCATATCTTATCAGTAACCCTTACACAGTACCCCTCTTCCCTCCCAGCCGTCTCATAAGTGCTGTGTCGGCTTTTACGAAATGGAGGCGAAAGGACAAAGAAATGGCCTCACTTTTAGCATTACAAAGCCTTGCTTTTAGCCCTACAAGATTCATATACAATAAGCCACTGCACTTCCTGAATCAAAAGTGAATGTCTGTTCATTTGCTTATTGGTTCAATCTTTGTGGCTTAGACTAACCTTCAAAGACTGAATCAACTCAGCCTCTAGCTTTTTGACTGTCTGTACTTAGCCTTAAGGGCAGACTTAGGTTCTGGGAATAATATTTCTAGACTGAGGACTTGCATTATTTGTGCTTCCGTGTCATTTAAAATTGGGCAGGCCCAATTTTAGGGCTGCTGAGATGTTCAGGGCTGCTGAGATCCGGGGTTTAAACCAATCTACCACTAGAAGGGAGCTGCCAGATAACAGATAAAGGAGTGTATTGAGAAGTGGAGCCATGTGACCAGATTTACAGAGGCACCTAGGCACCTAAAGAGCAGGTAGGCATCTAGTGGGATTTACTGAAAGGCTTAAGTGATTTAGGGACCAAACTCATTGATTTTCAATGGGAATTAGGCAGCTAATCTATCTGCATTTGTAAATCTGTCTCCGATAGCCCAGAGCCAGATGTGCAGATGCTCAACACCTGGCATCTCTGATTGTTAAAGACAAAGACAAATTTTAAGAAATTCTTTGTTCTAATAATTCTGAACTGCTCTGAAAACTCTTAGCTGTGCAGCACGGTGGTGTGTACCTTTAATAAACACCACATTAAAGGTTGTAAGGATTTTAACATTTTAATTTCCAAAACACCAAAAGCTATGAAGCTATATTGCAAAAGTAACTGGCATGGGTAGCTGTGAAGCCCTGACAGCAGAAAGCTCATCATGGGCTTACCACCCAAGCATTTACCCATGTAGGGTTTTCACTTTGCACTGATCTGCAAGCTACCACAATCAGAATGCTACTGCAGCCCAAGCTAGATAGCTCAATGCTAGCCTGATTACGTCTACCCTACCCGGCCAGTCCCTGTACACTTAATGTTGATGTACAGCTAGGAATAAGATAAGATGCATTCTTTTAGCTATGTTGGTTTTTGCAGGGCCAAGACAAGTGAAAAACAGTAACAGCTTATTTTTAGCATTCAAGCAAACAGTCATGACAGAGCAGCTCTATTAAGAAGATGCTATTTTTTCATATTTAGTTATTAGAGCTGGGCTGCACTTTATGGTGTGTCAATAAACATGCTTTTCTCATTCAGAAGCTGATGTGGATTCCAGACTTTATGCAATGAAAAAATGCTCTGACCTGAGTGCTGATGTTCTGAGTTTCAGAATAGAGGCAGTGTTTAAGGGCAAGTTATAAAGAGAAGGAAAAAAAA